TGCTCACGCTCGCACGCAGCGCATCCAGATGGCTTGTCCCGAGGAAGAGACTCGGACTTACAAATTCCGAGCTGTCACGTCCTGCAAATGCAAGCGCTACACTCGCTACCACAACCAGTCTGAGCTGAAGGACTTTGGAAAGGAAACTGCCCGGCCTCAGAAGAACAAGAAGCCCCGTCTCTCCAGAGCCAGGAGCAGCAAATCTAACCATGAGTTAGAAAACGCTTACTAGAAGGTGGCTCTGAGTGACACAGCCTAGCAGCTCTGGATATTTTACAAAACATCAGATGGCACTCACAGGCCACAGCATGACGTTCTGACTGCAGTAGGTTCCAATTCCTTCTGCTAAGCTGGGTCAAAGGCTCACATAGTCAAAAATCTGTCAGATTATAGCAGTTATGGTCTGATAAGACAATGAGAGAAACCGAGCTGGAGGTAGCAACACCTAAATTCAGTCTGAGGGGAGAGGTGCACCTTGGGGAGTCATGTGAGGTCGTGTGGCTTGTACAAGTAGGAAGGCAGAGGAAAGTGAAGCTGTTATGGTGACAATCACACTTTGTTAGAAGTCATTCTACTCACTTTATGTGAAAAGAACACCGAGATCCCTTTCCCACTTTTCTAAGTGCCGTGATGCAGGACAGGCGTGTGATCAGGGACGCACCGGGAGCGTCAGCACTCTCAGAAGGAGTGGTAGAAAGTTAGGGACAGCAGGGACTTCAGCAGTTGTGGTGACTGAAGTCAAATTGCTGGGAAATTAACACCCTGTCAGATGTCCTCACGCCCCAGTTGTTTCCTCTAAAACACAAAAATCAGGATATGACACTAGCGTTCTCAAAACAAAAGTAAAAGTGTGACAAATCTGTTTCATACTTTTAATTAAAAGCCTGTAGGATCAACAGATTCAAAACAGATTTGACAACTAAAGCCATATTTGGTTTAGGGACAATGATTTGGTTTAGGAACAATTAAACAAATTCTACTAAGTGGAGCAGATTTATGAAATGGATGCTCCTCTCAAACCAGATAACCTCACTGATGTTTGTCCTGTAAACAGCTAACGATATACATCATTTAACATAAAAGATACTGATTATTCCTTATTTCCTAGAACACAGTTGACTTTAGTATCAGCTTAGATACCTCAGTTTACATTTTCTATTCGGTAGAGTTTGGATTATCTGGCCGCACGCTTCGTAGTGCTAAGACCGTGCAAGCCAAGTTCTGGGAGTAAGGTGCTGGTTCGGCATTAAAAGTGAGCCTCTGCTAATTATAAAGTCATGAATTCCTCTAGAAAAGTCTTTGGTATGTGCAACTTTGGTAAGTCCTTAGTTTGACAGCAACTTTCCTTTACTTAGCTTCTCAACGTTCAGACTAATGTTTGTGGTTTTACGTTAAAGAATATTATTAGAAAGTGAATCGTCACATGCTGTATATATCCTGTAGAAGCGCTAAGCCCGGTATCGGATGAACACAGTTTGGGATGAAGCCAGTTCCTCACTGTTCTTATTTTCTATGTAGAGTTTATGCTGAAATCATATAAACTATGGAAATTTGCGATGTTGATAGATTTTGCAATTATTTTGTGTGGGACCAGAACCTAGAGAGAAAAGGTATTGTTTCAGAGAGTGAATTACATATTTATTTTTTTCTCAGAAATTATTTATGCTATGTTTTTCCTTGTAGAGAATGAGAAGTAATACTGCTTTAAAAATATTAGTCTGTTATTTTTAATTTTAAATACATTGTTAATAAAGTAGAAACAATGATTAATTATAGGAAGACTCATTGATTTTCAGCTGTAGTATAAAGCTGCTTTGCTGCAAAGCCAGTGAATTACAGAACAGCCAGGGTGTTGACTCCAGTTTCTGTGGGAGAGAGTGTCTGAGTCCTTAATTCTCAATCAATAACCCACACGTCTCTAAAGAAACTCCATCCTGGAACGTCTTGCTCCAATGCATGACATTTCTCATGGGAAAGGTCTCCCTGGGCAGATGTGGAGCTCAGACCTATTTCAATATTCTCATTTCTGCTTCCCATGGGGAAGAAAAACTCAGCCGATTTCGGTTTCCCTCCTACTCCAGTGACATTTCCTGATTCCTATGTTCACAACCTGATAAAGCCACCAAAGAAAACAAGAGGTCTGGGAACTGTCCATCAAGATTTCTTGACTGAAATCTGATTGCTTCAGATTTCTCTCATTGAAAAAAAAAGCAGCGTGGAATCCCCTTGCGCGTGCTGCCAAGCAACAGTTAAACCTTTTAACAATTTGATGTCGTAGACCTATACCCATTTTCATGTATAAGGCATGTTCTTTAAGAAACAAAGACATTTTCCAGTGAAGTCAGGGAAAACTGAGCTTGGCCTGCTCATAGCATGCAGATCTTTCAATACAGCTGTAAAGATGAACAGCTTTTTCAAGACAGCCAGTAGAGAAGGTGTCCTTTCACTGCTATTGTTTGATACCTCCTATAAAAACCTAATACAAGCAGTTGTCATACCTGTGACAATGTTTTCCAGGCTTATCTTTGACTTCATGGCACTTGGGGCTTAATTTTCGGAAATCAGCATGAACACCTGCAAGTGCTTCTTAAGTAAGAAAAGCACTTCAGTTTCTCTGAAAAGCCCTTCCACAGTCTCACTGGCATCTAAAGTTACTGCACGATTGTTCTTTAAATGTTGGCTGTGCTAAGCCAGCAAAAGAGACTTACTCCACTTTATCTGAGACTGCACGCTGGACTCCAGGCAGCCCAGACGTAGGGGGCCTGCCGCAGGTCAAGCAGTGGTATCGTCCTCCCAGATATTTCACCTTAAAGACGTCCTCTTCCAAAAAAACCCCAATCCTCCCACACAGTTCTCTCCTACCAAAAGTGCAAAAGTTTCCTGCTGTTAAGCTGCCATTCGGAATCTTGCAGGTTCCTGACCTCCAACGTCACGATCGGGTCTTTGCCTGTTACCAAGGCTTTTCCACGAACACCAACGGGCCGGGCGTCCCGAGGCACTTGCGCGGCTATGTTTCCTCTCAACGCCCATCCTGTTTACAGTTGCTTCTCAGTGGTTTCTTACCACAGGTTAAAAGTGGATTAGATGAGCAGTCTGCAGATACGCTTAGTCTTCTGTGCTCTTATTTCCGAAACAGTCCCCTCCGACCGCCTCTTGCAATTTATGTTATCAGGAGAGGAACAGGGAATAGCAGCGTTCTGCAAAGGGCTGGAAAAACCCAAATGCGGGGTGCCTCACAGAGGCAGACTGCTACGTTCCCCTCAGGTGGGTTCTTTTCAAACAGAGCGTTTGGGTTTGATTATTTGTTTGTTTATTTTCACGCCCTCTCTCTCTTTTTTTTTTTTAATCTCTAAGAAAGGTGTACATGATTTTAGCCTCAGATTAGTACATATTACTTACAGCTGCCAGTAGGGCTCTAGAACAAGACAAATTCAGAGCGTGACTTACTGTTCTAATAAACCACGTCAGCGTTTGCTGAGAGCGTTACCTATGAGTCAAGGGCCGCGCTGTACCGAGGAGATGCCACCTCTAACTGGGGGCTGAGAAGAGTGTCTGCAGGAGATTTCAGCTTGTCTTTCACACCAAATCAATACATTTCCAATTCTTTCCAAAGAAAAAGGCTTGATACCATACACAGAGGAAATAACTGAAAACAGAGCGACTTTATAGATTGTCCTTACATCAGTGAAACATCACGGGACACAAGACGTACATGGGACGGGCTCTTTCAGAGTAACAAATACTCCAAAGGGGCTTCTTAACAGGCAGAGACCTGCTGTGCCCTCCTTTTACAGAAGCATTGAATAGTTTTGCTTCAGGACTATAAACTCTCCAGGCAAGAGTGAATTTCTTCATTGTAATTTTTGCAATAAAATAGCACAGTGGTACATAATTGAGGTGCTACTGAACTATAAGTAGTAACAGGGGGCTGAATTTACCTTCACTTGGCTGGAGCCAGCTGCCTGCCAGCGGCGACCGACTGCCCGAGTGGGAGGTCCACAGAAACACAATTGACCAAGTTCTTTTTTCAGGCAGCATTCACGATTTCTCCAAATCAGCTTTGAACATTCATTTGTCCCCCATTTCTATTTCCAACTTGTGCAGACAGCAAACCACGGCACATTCTCTACGATGTATGCACTGACTTAGAATAAATAGTCACTGTCCCTACTTTATTTCTTTTTCTGGCAAAAAGACAATGCTGCTATTATTCAGAGAAAGATAAACTTTCAGGCAGCACAAACAGCCTGCTGGCATCCACAAGGTCCCAAAGATTTTGCATGAGGTTCAACTTTTTAATTACAAATTGCACCATAAAGAACGTAACTTTATCCAGTGAGGCCCTAGGCCCAGAAAACACATGATGTGTGTGTGTTCTGCAAATGTGGTTGAGGAAGTCAGCATCACGAAATACGGAAGGAATAAACATGTATTTTTTTAGCCACATGACATCAACTTATAATTAGCTCGTTTCACTCAAATTAGTGCAGTATATGGGCACAGAGAACAACTTTTCTATAGTAAACAGGCTCAAAAGTCTTAAATTAACATAGAACATATTTATATGTAGCCTGAGTTTGGATTGAACATACTCTGCAGCTCTAACCTGAAATTTGAATAAACTGAAACTCCCCTTGATAGGCAAGTAATGGAAGTCCACCTCTAAAATAACTCACAGTTTAAAACAAAGCCAGTACATGTTGCAGAACTTGCAACAAACCCAGCTGATGTTATTCAGTCCTACAAAACACTGCAACTGCTCCCCTTTCAGTCTTACAGCCATCAAGGACAAATCTGCACGACTTTTTTCCCAGTTACATCCAAAGGGATGGACATTTCTCTTCTGTTCCCAGAACTGCGGGAAGAGTTTTTACACTGAATGTTGGAGAGTTGTAACATCAAGCTGCAGTGCTCCAGGGACAAGGCTCATGATGCCTTGTCATCTTTTCATTGAATTAGGAATATGGTGCTTTTCTGCATTTTTTGATGCCACAACGAATTTTATTCTCACAAGAGCACAAGCGTACTGTGCCTGAAGCCCAAAGGGAAGGAAGTAATGCTGATTCTTCTGTCTCCATTAACCATTCCTGACACTGTATCATGAACTAGCTATTTCTTTCAATCCTAAAAGCTCTCACTGCCCTTTTATAAGGACAAGTTATTACTGTGAAAAGAGGACAATAAAACTAATCAGTATAACCTGAGTAGAGGTAAAACTCATCAGCACAAGCC